AAAAAAAAAAAAAAAAAAAAAAAAAAAAAAAAAAAAAGGGATGGGCTAGTAAAACGAACAGACATTTCTCAGAAGTACAAAATGGCCAATAAATAGATGAAACAATGTTCAACGTTGCTGGCAGCCAGAAATGCAAATGAAAACAACACTGAAACATAGTGATGCACACCTGTAATTGCAGTACTCAGGAGACCTTCCCAAGTTTGAGACCAGCCTGAGCTACATGGTGAGTTCAAGACCAGGCTGAACCTGTCTGAAAACAATTCAATCCCTGGTACCAAAAAAAAAACAGAACAAAGAAACCCCAAATAAAAAGCAAAATAAAATAAATACATAATTAATTTTTAAAAGGAAAAAAAAAAAAAGAACCTAACTAAAAAAAAAATAAAAATAGGCCAGGGATTTAGCTCAGTGGTTTCAGCGCCTGCCTCGCAAGTGCAAAGACCCAAATTTGATTCCCTGTACCAAAAAAAAAAAAAAAGATCTTCAAAAAATAATAAAACACTGAGATTCCATCTCACTCCAGCAAGAATGGCCACCAACAAGAAATCAAATGAAAACAAGCACTGGCAAGGTGGTGGGGGAAAAGGAACCCTTCTGTATTGTTGGTGAGAATACAAACTAATTCAATCACTATGGAAATCAGTATGGTGATTTCTCAGAAAACTAACATTAGAAATTCCATTTGACCCAGTTATTTCCCTTCTAGATAGCTTCCCAAAAGAGTTAAAGACATCATATTATAGTGATATATGCATACCCATATTTATAGCAGCACAATTCATAACAACTAAATCTTGGAAGTGGCCTCTCTATCAATAAAGAAAATGTCACATTAATATACAATGGAGTACTTCCCTGACATAAAGAAGAATAAACTTGAGTCATCTGCAGGAAAATGGATGAAATAAACCAGACAAGCTTAAATACTGCCCAATTTCTCTTATATGAGAAACCCACAATATAAGTAAAGAGGAAAATTAAAAAATAGATAATAGAAATAAGATGTTTAAGTACATGTACCAATTCCCCCCAAGGAATGCAATCATTATGTAATGCAAGCATGTACCTAAAAAAACACACACACACACAAAAATTTCAAGTTATGTTTTCAAGAAGAGGATATGATATCAAAATTTGAAGCATAACTGTGTCTCTTCCACCTCCCCCTTCTTCCTTTTCCCTTTAATAAATTTTATTTTATTTTATCTCATTCCTCCCTCAAGCCCTCTCCCCTCCCTGTTGTACAAAAGCTTTGTTCCCATTTTTTCTTCTATTTTCACTTTTTTCTTCAATAGGAATTAAACCCAGAGCCTGAGCATTCTAGGCAAGTGCTTTATCACTGAATCATATGCCTACTCCCCCTACCCTCATCTTAAAAAGGGTTCTGAAGCCGGGGGTAGGGGAGTGGCCAACACCTGTAATCTCAGCATTCTGGAGTCTGAGCACAAGAATCGCCATGAGTTTGAGAGGAGTCTGGGCTATAGTGCATTCAAGGCCAGCCTGCTCTAGAAAGCCAGACCTCATTTCAAAAAACTAAACCCTTGACCATCAAAAGGGCTCCACCAAGTTGCCCAGGCTGAGCTCAAACTTGAGATCCTCCTGCCTCAGCTCCGTAAGTAGCTGGGATTACAAGTGTAAACCACCATGCCAGGCAAAAAAATGAGTCTTCAAAATAAGTTCAAATCTTTCAAGACAGTATCTTACCAGAGTTTTTAAGAGATGTTATAATGTATCAGAAAACAGCTCTAAGATCTTAGTTTCTTTAAAATATCTTAAGAGTTTGGGGCTGGTAGAGGGCTTGCCTAGCATGTCCAAGGCCCTTGATTCCACCCCCAGCTCCACAAATAATGCCTTAAATTATTAGAGGTCTATAACGAATCTTCTAAGTACCAAGAAATTGTATATTTCCTGTAAGTCTTTCATCCTGTTTGTATGGCTCATTTCTGCAGGAGAATTTTTTTCTCAAGCTCAATGCCCTTGTTCTGTTTCCTCATTTTCTAACCCTGTATTCCATTATTCCCTCGCGTGTTCAATTTCACCCTCTATTGGCTCCTTCCCTCTCGCCTACGAATATGCTCTTCTTGCCCAATTTACAACATACATCACTCCTCTTTCTCAAAATAATTCCTTCCTGATTCAAGTTACAAGGCCTTTTAAACACAGGGCCTTCATGCTGAGCCACATCCATGGCCCTTTTCTTGTTTTGGGTACCGGGGATCGAACTCAGGATTTTGCGCTTGCGAGGTAGGCGGAGGAGCCACTGAGCTAAATCCCCGGCCCCTACAAGGTCTTTTAAACAGTATCTTTTTCAACAATACTTTTGGTTTGGGAAAGGGGGTTAACAAGGTACCCCAAAAAGCGATACCCCTGGCGCTCTCCAGCCAGCCTTTCCTGACTCATACATGCCTCAGTACTTTCCATAAACAAAAGCTACAATCTAGAGGCGGTATCAACAAGTTAACACCATTCTATCTCCCACAAACGGGCCTGGGTAATTTGTATGTGAACACTAAAAATCTTCTACTCCCAGAACCATCTATCTGCTCAGATCGTTGCTTTCAAAAAACCCAGGGCAGACTGATCTCCACTCCCGACCCGCACTCCCGCCACCTCACAGCCAAATACTGTCGCCACTCTGAGCACCGCTTTGATGACAGCACCGTCGCCCCCACGTACCTGGGTGACCACGCCGGAGGCGACAAGGCGGCCCAGCAGTAGGCCGGCA